CACAACCAACATCTGCAGATTGGTGTAATTCTTCTGTGTTCAGTCTTTCTTTAAATATAACAAAAACAAATGTAACGTCTGGATTTTGAGGAACCTTAGGCACATTACATTTATTTTGATTAATGCACTGTACATGATTGTCTACAGAAAACATGTCATTTTATTCAGCAACATCTTACATGCATTTTAATGCCTGAAAAGCACATATACACTTTCTTTCAACAAAATACATCATTAGATGTTTATTTAAAGGATCTCATTCACTCAAACAGCATCCCTGCATCATCTTAAACCATTTAATTACATTTAAATATGGAGTTTTGATGGCGTTATGGAAAGAGGCGGTTGGGATTAGGGCTATCGTTTGTTAGAAAAAGATAATTTTGGTAGTTTTTCCTCCTTATACCACCATGGTGGATTTTAAATCAATCAATATAGGATTTTGATTTAATAACAGACATTTAACAATGATGTGTTTTTCATAGTCCCCCATTTTTAGAGGCAAAACTAACTTAGGTCAGGTTAGGTCACTTCCCCCGGTACTCCTTCACAAATGAGGAAAACATAAGTTGATTGAAGATGTTGAATTTGGATTTCATAGATTTTCATTGTAATTTTAGTTCAAAGATGTGGTTTAAGAAACTTCACATAACAAACTTAAGAACGCTCTTGATGAGGTAGGTGTGTCACTGTCGAGGTGATCAATGAAAACAGAGCGTTTACCACAACGTGCTAAAAGAACCAGCTCTCTATTGTGTGATGACTGCTGACAGGATGCACTTTAAAGTGTACAGGGCTACACTCTGTGCTCAGATTCAGCCAAATGCTGCAAAACTGATTGTGTCACAGTGCAAATTGGCTCCCTGTTAAATATCGCATAGATTTTAAAATTCTTTTGTTCACTTTTAAAATTCTGAATAATTTAGCGCCCAGCTATCTCTCTGAACGACTCCACTTATACAATCCCAACAGAACACTTAGATCATCCAATCACAGGCTCCTAGCACAACCTAGGTCTCGAATGAAGTCGAGAGGTGACCGGGCCTTTGCAACCGTGGCACTTTGGCCTTTGATTCTAACTAGTTGGCTGTTCTAGGTTATTGTGTTGTTACCTATTGTTTGTTGTCCTGTTTTATTGTTTGTTTTAATTGTCTTGTGTTTTTACTGACTGTGAAGCACTATGGTCAACACTGTTGTTTTAATATGTGCTATATAAATAAATTTTGATTTGATTTGATAATGACCCAAAGTGTATCACTAAAGCCACGCTAGAATTTCTTATTAGTAATGTCTGACTACTTGTCAATTCTCTAATTACTTCTGGGCCTCAAAAAATTGGGGACTATGAATAAGAAAAAGAAAATAAAAGGCTGTAATTCCTAAACAGTTAATGCAATACTTTTGTTAAACCCCTTGTTTTAAAGCTAAACGTCTGCACTTCAATCACATATTCTGACTTAAAACAGCTGTGTATATCAGCAAAACTACAAAAACTGTGTATGCCCCCCCAAAAATATGGACCCAACTCTGACCACTAACTGTGGTGAAAGGGGAGCATGCAATTAAGTATGATAATGTTTTTATTACATTAAACGTTATATGTGGGGAAAACCTGTAGAATATGGAAATCTACGCAACAGCAAATTAAGGTGCATTTGTGTCCTTATTTTATAGCAGTATAAGTCAAATGTAACTGCAAGTTTAACTTTGAGAGTACTTTGAGAGGGATCTTCAAACTGACAGAAGTAACTCACAAGAGATGACAGCTTTGCTCAGGTTCTTATACAGCCTCAGGTTTAAGAAGATTCTTGGATCTTTACTTCATGTTATTAATGCTGATATCATTTTTCAAACAAATGCTGTTTACAATGGAAACATTTTAGCGATTGCCCATGTTCCATTCAGTCAATCATTGGACACACTTATACCTCATATACTGAGAGAAAAAGCATTGAGGTAGGAGCTACCACAGAGTTCAAAGATCTGCACTCATCCTCAGCTACACGAAAACATTTGAATTCTTCCAACAGCAACATTGAAGACTTTCCTACAGTCCATAAGAACCTACAGGCGAGAAGCAGAGTTCACACAGACGGTAAACGATCGCTTCTGTGACTTTGGGGGCTTCTCCTTAACGCGCTCCCGGAATAGGGCTCTGGAAGACCCAACCAAAGCCCTACTCCGGGAAGCATGTTTAGCAAAATCTGAGTTTAGAAATAAAGTGAGTTGGTTACATTTGATGTCAATAACTCTGGGCTTCTCAATCCAGAAGAGCTGACCAGTTAGTTCAATACAACTGTGAGTATGTTCAGGATGGGATGGAGCACATTTATGAGTACAGAAAGAAAACCACCATCAGAGGAGCTCTGACACCGAGAGTCTCCAAGAAAGCACAGCCTCACTTCGACTCCAGTGGACTGAGGAATATCACTGTGTCACGATCACGATGGCTACGTTAAGAAGCAGGAGGGGAGAAGAAAATAAAATATATATATCTCACAAAACTGAGTACACCCCTCACATTTCTGTAAATATTTCATGGGACAACACTGAAGATATGACACTTTGATACAATGTAATGTAGTCAGTGTACAGCTTGTACAACAGTGTAAAATTGCTTTTACCTCAAAATAACTCAACATACATCCATTAACGTCTAAACCACTGGCAACAAAAGTGAGCACCAGCATTGCTGCAGAAGGCGTCAAAGACCAGCCTGTCAGTGCTCAGAC